CAAGTGTCTTGTGTTGTTGGAATCCATGGCTCACGCCAGACAAAATGCATGCCTCAGATTTGATCGTGAGCTGGTGAAGTTTTCACATATTTGGGATTTTTTGAAAAACCTACTTTTGCAAACTAGTCCTAGGTTTTTTGCCCGATCGGAACCAAATCAGTGCAGAAAGATTCTCTGGAGAGTGAATATCAATAATTATAAAAAAAGTTGAACTTTCGACTCACCGTCGCAAAGGGGCACCAAAACGTTTGAAAGGGGCAGGGCTACTTTTAGTAAAATGCCTATAACTCCTGAACGGAATGAGATATCTTCGCCAAACTCAGAACACTTATGTAAGAGCTCAATCTGAGGTCACGAGAAACACATTTCAGGAGCTTGGCCACTTGGTGGTACTATAAGAGGGAAAAACATAAAAAATGTCTACAACTGCGCAGCCATTTGTCCTATCAACATGAAAATTGGTGTGTACGGTCTTGGTCCAAAAGTGCCACAAGTGTCTACAAGAACATTTGAATATCTCAAAAAACATGGCCGCCATTGGCCGACGAATTTGGGCACCTGTTAGACAAGGTTAACAGAGGCCGATCGGAGCGAAACTTGGTGGGCCTGTTTGACCCATGGCCGCAAAAGTCTGTGAGAAATTTGAAAGAAATCAGCCACTGGGGGGCGGTATCTCATTTTTCAAGGGCGTAAACAATTGTACTGTACATTGTGCGGCTTTTCACACATAGGCACAATATTCGTATCATATGATAGAACTCCTCATTACCGACAACTTTGGCTCTAGAACCACTGCTGTCAATTAAACAGTTTGTTAAATGATTGAGAAGATGTAAAAATAATAATAATAATAATAATAATTTTGCGAACTTTTTTATTTTTATTTTTTTTGCTCAATCTGAAAAAAAAACAAACTGTAGTACAATTCTCTGGACTCTCTAGGTCAATAAGTATATAATTTTTATTATTTTTTTTATTTACCCTTTGGGAAGCTATAACGGGGGTTGTTTAAAAAAGGGGCCTGTCCAAATTTACCCAAAATCCTATAAAGCTTAAAGGAAAACTCAAATCTTCACAAAACCTGGTAAGCACATGTGACAGGTGATTCTAAACAAGCATGCAAAGTTTTAAGGAGATCAGACCACAGGTGACGGTTTCAACGGCAATAACAAAAACAAATGTTACTGCACATGCGCGCTTTTGTGGCCCTAACTTAACTTCCGGTAGACTTCCAAATAGAAATTCCAAATGAAAAATTCAACATTTTTAAACGTGCAGTACGTGCTCATGTTTATTCAACGAAGCCTTTTGGAAAATCTGTCAGTTTTGATATTATGGCGAGCACCACAAATAAATAAATGTATGGGAAACACATCCCACAGCACAACCACCTGAGCCCAACTTCAGTCTATTCACCTTAACTTTAACTGCGTTTGTAGCCGGTGCCATAGCCAGACTGATAAACAAACACATACCGGAAGTTAACTTCAGGCCAGGCACGTGCGCCCGTTGAAACTGTCTATAACAGTTAAAAAAGGATTCAAAAACACTGTATTTCTATGGTAAATGACCTCAACTTGCAGAAAACGTTCATACATTCACGCAAACACTAGATGTTCCCATCGTATGATCAATCTCCTGATTCTGAACAACTTTGCCTCTAGGACCACTGCTGTCAATCAAAGTGTTCTTTAAATATTTGACATTATTTAAAAAAAATAAAAAATAGTTTCCCAGACTCCTCCAGTCCGACCACAGGTGGTACTATTAAAGTCATAAATGTTAATAAACTTCACAGTCCTATGGTAAATTACATGCAGTTGCCTAAAATTATATTTTTAATAATTGATTTAGCTAGTTAAAGCCTTGTTTAGATAGTGTATTTTTCCCTATTTGCTTAAATGCCTTAAGCGCTTGAACCCCGATAATCGCTGCTTGCAGCTATATTGTCAATATATAAAAGTGTTACACAGTTACATCTGAATTGACCTGAACATGTTTATTCTCATGTTTATGCATCAAACATTGCAGAAAAAAGATAATAATAATAATTCCTTATATTTATATAGTGCTTTTCTGGGCACTCAAAGCCCTTTACACAGAAGGGGGGAATCTCCTCAACCACCAGTTTCGCAAAAGATCAACTTAATGTAAAGTAAATATTTTCCCAATTTAAATCATCATCTTTAGTACAATGACAGTATAAATCAGCACTTATTTAAAGTTTGAAACAGCATCTTTAATTTCAAACCCAAATCTATTATAACATTAGATTTTTCTGTCATAGATTAAAGGGGTCTGTGGATGTGCTGCCTTTATATATTACTAGAAAAGAAGCATTTAAAGGAAATCATTATTGTCCTTTAATATAAAACTTTAACACAAAAATTTGAAAACTCCTGGTACAGTTAAATAAACAGGAATGCTATAAAGTATAACTTTCTCCGGGTATTTTAGACGTTTCTATATAAAGGAACATATAATTGACCACCTGTTTCAGAGCAGGGTAGTCTGTAGTACAGAAAGTGAACCATTTTCGATATTCATCAGCCTGACAGTTTCAGAATTGAGCATGTGCGATTTAATGACAGAGTGTTAGGTTGGTATAAATGTTGTTGCTGTGTTCTGTATCAGTTGAAGTTGTGTTTTCTTTGAGCAACCGATTTGCTATTGAGATGAGAAGCAAAAGTGCCCGCCATTCTACAAATGACTGCAAACACAAGACTTTTCGGAGAAAGCAAGTATTCAAGTCAATCCTTGTGCTGTATTGCAAGTCCATATCAGATTGAGGTCTTTCTTTGAAAAAAAGATCTGATAATTACTACAGTGCCAAGAACGATTTCTAAAGCAGTACATACACTTCCCTGAAAAGTTTTCAAATATTTCCACAATGTGGAATCGCCATGATCGTTTGTCTCCAAATCAGCGTTTCCAATTTCCAATTTTATTATGCAAAGAGCCTTGTTAGCTTCTGTGACAGTGTTAAATCTGATGTGGGTAAAGTACTTTTTGTTTCCTTCCCTATCTGAAGATGGAGGTCAATGATTGCGGCTGAGTTTCGCTCTCTTATTCTCATTCGCTCACTCAGTCTGTTTCGTCATAGCGCAGTGACTGTATGGAAATACTGAGTAATGGGTTTGCACAAGATCTGTGAGTTCTTGCTTTGGAAGATGTGTTTATATCCAGGACTTTACCAGGGTAAAATGCTCATGGATTCTCCACCAGCTTTTTTTTTTATTTGTAGATCAAATTGTTTTAAATAATTGATGTGGTTTGCATTAGCTGTGAAATGCATGCCATATCACAAGCATTTCCTGTCATTTTAATATGCAAACAGTCACGGTTTTTCGTGGGTTTCCACTAGAGGAAGTGCTGTTTTTTCTTGTGTCATTAGTATTTCTATATTTATTATTACATTGGAATTTCATACATATATTCTTGCCTTATGATTTGCTTATGTTTTTGCTGGTGATATGATATGCACATTTGGACCACATTTGGAATTTTGGAGAAAAGCTTTTGATATTTTCATTTTAAATCATTTGTGTCTTGTCCTGAAATGACACTAAAGTGAAAAAAAAAAGTGTAGCTATTTTTTTTAAAGCTAAAAGAGAACAGCTTGTTGTTACAACACCAAGGTCATGGGTTCAATTCCCAGGGAAAGCAAGCACTTGTGTAAATGTGTACCTTGAATGTAATGTAAGTCTCTTTGGATAAAAGTGTCTGCCAAATGCATAAAAGTGAATGTAAAAAAATAATAATAAAAAAATTACTAGTGCTTGCTTAAAGGGGTGGTTGATTGCGATTTCACTTTTTTAATGTTAGTTAGTGTGTAATGTTGCTGTTTGATCATAAACAATATCTGCAAAGTTACGAAGTCTTTTAAAATTCTGGCAGTTTAATGCCTACAAAAACGACTGGTAAGGGTCTACAACGAGTTACTTCCCAGGTCTGTTACGTTAAGAACCCATAATTTTACATAAACCCCACCTCCGGGAACACGCAGCAAAGGGGGCGAGGCCATGCTGCGCTGCTTTAGAGAAGAAAAAATCTATTCATATATGAATCGCGATTCTGTCTTCTAACGATTCTAATGGATTCACAATTTTCAAAATCAATGTTCAAAAGCAGCGTTCGCGTTCAGAGGAGAAGGGACAGAGAGGTGTGGAATAAAGGTAAATTATGTGAAAAATAATGCGTTTTTTAACAAACTAAGCATTAACACATGTTAGACTGCACCCCATAAACACAATCAAGCCTATAAAAAAACAGTCAACCACCCCTTTAAGCAAAATGCAAAAACACCAAAGCAACCACATAGCAACACTCTTGCAACCACCATAATTACCATGTTGGTGAGTTCTGTATAGGAATGCACTTTTTTTATAAAATGAAAAAAAAAATCTAGATATACTTATTATTATTAACACTTTTTTTCCCATCATTTCATCACATCCAACATAGCTCAATATTCAGCATATAAAAAATGTCAGTACATACATAAAATGTAAATACATACAATGTATGTGCAAAATTGCAAAAGTGTGTATGTACAGGTTCTTTATTGTCATTGATGGTTCTGCGAAGCACCTTTTAACATCTACAAAACCTTTCCATTGTGCAAAAGGTTATTTATAGTGAAAAAATTATTTTCAATATTTAAAATGTTCTTCACACTACACTCCTAAATATAAAGGTTCCAAAATGCTGTTTTTGCACTGATGCCATAGAAGTTCCCCAAAGAAACTTTCAGAATAACAATGGTTTACTTTCTTTTTACTTTCAAAAAGCCTTTTTTTCACTATGAAGTACCTTTTGTGCAGTAGAAAAGTTCCATGGATATTAAAGGTTCTCCATGGAACTATCAAGAAAAAAATGAAAGAAAAAAATGCTTATTTTAAGAACCGATCACTTAATGGTTCTTCTGTAGCATTGCTGCAAAAACTCCTCCTTTTTTTTTTTTTGAGAGTGTAACATAATTGAGTCACTGTATCAATGGTGGGGGGATACATGAGATTAGACTCATCGTCATTGTCATCATATTCTGATAGTATCTCACTCTTGGTGCAGAAACAGAAACGCTTTGTTCAGTGCTTTCACAATCATGAAAAAGTCTCACATTTCACGTGAATGTCAGTTCTACGTCTCCTAATTTAAGAGACAAAGTGTCCAGCTGGCAAGGCTCTTGTAGAAGTAGTGGACAGGTGATAAAAAGTGACGACTCGCCGCAGTTCTCGTCTGACTGGAAGGATGAATCTTCCAATCCTGATATATTCACAGATTGTAAAGGTGATTTTTTCAAATAGTTTGGTCTGTCATTGTCATTATCGGTTGTGAAAGTACAGCTGGTTTGCTCATGAGACAATGAATCACTGTCTGTTAGGAGCTTCCTGGTTTTGCACCACATGCAAGTCTCAACGTTAGAACACAAGCACGTCACATGACCAGACCGATAGCCACTGCTAGGGCTAGCCATGTTGGCGTCTACGTCACATGGGATGGTGGCCTCATTTTCAGCATCAGCTGAAGAACTCTGACTACGATATCCATCCCCAACTACTACTATCTCAGACAGGAGGCCACCGTCCATTCCCTTGAGACTGTCGGAAGCATCCTGGTTTCCCATTCCCAAGCCACTGTCCTCTTTTCTTTCACATTCATTGATGCTATTTACTTCACCATCTAGAAAAGGGAGCTCTTCCAGGCTTCTTCTTCCACTGCTGAGACTGTCCTCTGTGCCTGTCAGACTGCCACAGCCACTGTCTTCCTGTCCCGTAAGTCCGTCTGGGCCTCGGTTCTTAATCGAATGCTGCTGGCCGACACTCACTCCGCTGTCTGTACTCTCTCTTCTCTCTTTGTCCTCCTCCAAAAGGTCCTTGTTCTCATCAAATGCTTTACTCTTTCCCGCCATTTTGTTGCTAGTCAGGAGCCATCCCTTGTCAGTGACTGTTTCCACTTGGATTAATCCGACATTCATAGGGTTCCATCCATTCACAGCAGATTTCTGTTGAAAACAAAAATTAGATAATAAAAAATTAATTAAA